TGGTGATTATATGATGATATTGATTATAGTGAGAGCGTGCGTTCTTTCGCGTTGACCGGCTCCAAAGAAACGATAGCTTGTTTGCTTGAAATGGCTGTAGATGAATTCATAGAAGTACGCTAGTAGGATACATATTAAAGCATGTGTTCAGTGTTCGGTTTTTAGGATATATAAACCGGAATGAATGCTAACGGGATCGACATTCTCGGCCCTCGGGACAACTTTTACTATATTTACAAAATTTCAGATTTGAAAATCATGATGTCAAGGTTCAAATTGGGGTTAAAATGTAAATATGTTTTGGTGCCCAGTAGAACATTGACTCACGCATACAATTCGACAACAATGGTATTCCAGCCAATGAAATTATGTTAACCTGTTTTTTTTGTATTCACTTAGTGTACGCCTGTCGCGTTGTCACCTGTACGGGATTTATATGGTTTTTAGGAGGCTACATTCGGGATTCTCTGGAGAGTGTAAAAACTGGTATATGAAAAAAACAAAAACAAATGTTTAATTTTCAGAAGGTTATGAACATACATACATAGCGTAGTGCGTACACTTTTGCCTTCCCAGTTCCCAGTTCCCACTGTCTATCAGACGTCAGTCTGTCTTCTCTTTATCTTCATCTTTCTTGAAAGTCGAAATGACTTTCTTCCTCTATTTGAGATGTTGACATGTAAGATTGTACTGAGCTATCATGTGTTTTTATTTTTGTCATATCCTTCTCAGTTGTCCCTCGACGCTTCTGTTGTAGATAAATACGATACGCATACTCATCACATTTGCATAAAATTATTTTTTCAATATCCGTACTAATTGTTCAACGACGCACAGAACCCCATACCCTATATCATTCCCATCGGTAACCTTACGTCTACAGCTTCAACTGCTACTGAGGTTAAAGTGAACTAACGAACATGTATGAAATGTGCGACTACGAAAACACGTGAAAGCCTTCCGACAATGGTACGATTGGACTACGTCAATTCTCTGATGACAATCGTAGGCATACTCGATGGATCAGCCAGCTTTTTTGGGGTGCGACACTTTGTAAAACAACACGCCCCTAAATGATTTCCTTATCCTGCAAAGCACCACAATGCCTGACAGTACTGACTCTTCTCAATATAATCCGAGGAATAGCTAGTGTCACACAGCCTATGACTACACACACTGACTACTGTGACAAGCTCTTGATCTTGATGAACATCGCTTCGACCATGGGTGCGTGTTGTGAATTTAAATCTAGTAATGTGCTGATCACAGACACAATTGTCAATATTATTGAATATAGCGGCATTCTACGAGATACCCTAGAACTGCTACGATGAAGTGATATTCTTCTCAAAATTATTGAAAGAGTGATGATACATCGGGATCCTCAAACATTGTGAGACACAAGTAATATCTAATACAAAGTGCAAGGCTGCAAAGCAGATGCGCAATTTTATAAACTAAGAGAACTGAGAACAGCAAGATCCTTGTTGGCTTCTAATAAAGTAAATAGATAAATACGAATTTATATTTTTATAGCTACATATAAATAGAGATCCTCCAGTCAATTGTATAGATTTTACCGAAGCTATAACAGTTGTCTATATTTTTTTAAACAAATACGTCATCTGAATATTGATTATTTTTTTTAATTTTAAAAAACACCCTGCATAAATTTTAAATGAAATGAAGCATTTATTCACATCACGATGGTTTGTGAAAAATGAATTTAAAAAATATACCACATGACCACACATTTTTAACATTTTATTTTATTTCGTTAAAAAAGAAAACACACAATATTTCTTTTAAATATCCTAAACCAGCAGCCCTTGGAGTTGAAATTTACAAACAGAACGAGACAAAACAAAATTCAACATTGTTGAACTACAGTGCACGGTCATCCATTCCTCTTGGGTATAATTTAGAACAGGGCTATGAAACTTTGCCAAGTGTACACACTTAATAGTTCGGTACTTGGGCCAAAGTCACCTTACGTGGGCCCATAAATATCGACCCTACCTTTGCGAATGGACTGGATGCGGCTTTAAACCTAACCTCATTATTAATAAGTAAGGCATTGTAGAAATAAAAGTACAACGTTTTACGTATACTTTTTGATTTTTAAACGTTGCAACGTTTTTGCAAATATATTGGCCTGAAATAATTTGATTTTTCGACCTGGTAGATGTACCTTTTCCACGAAACGCGCAGCTGACCACGCAATTGACCTAGATTTAAGATTTTAGAGGGCTATATATGATAAAACCCCTGGGCCCAATGTACTATAACTAGAGTAGAGAGAGGCGAGAGCTCGGCAGACATATACGGGATTGATTGCACCGTTGCACGTATGTCGAGTCGGGCAGTATTGGAGCATAGAGGTATGCGAAGAGACGAACTATCGTCATTTATATCACTCATTATTGCCTCTCATGCTCTCTAGTCTCTACTACTAGTAGGGACTATTTTCTAGAGTAGAGAATATGAGGAGAGAGTCACTCTCTAGACTCTCACTCTACTCTAGAGACAGTAGTAGTAGAGAGTGGACTGGAGACCTAAGCGGCTAAGCCCTATCCGTTTTGCAAGTTTAGTTTTTTAAGCGTTTTAAAGTATATCGGGGGCATATCGACCATGATTTTTCTCTCCAAATTTGCACCTGAGAAATTGACCTTTTTCTTTTTTTGAAAAGGCGATTTGAAACTATTCGCAACTGACACAAAGTGAAAAATAGAACAATTCGTGACAGTTAGGCCGCCTCAAAAAATGTACCTATTTGTAAACCCATAGGACTATATTTAGGATAAACTTTGAGCGTAAACGCTTATTTATTTATTTTGCGTTTTAACGGGAAACATAAATAGTGAGGTTAGGTGGAGACTATGATACATTGATACTGCTAGTAGTAGAGACTCTAGAGTAGAGTAGAGACTACAGAGTAGCGAGAGACACACTCGCTCAGGAGTCGAGGAGAGGAGAGAGAAATTGTCAATTCCGCTGCTTTTGCCAATTCCAAATTTTGCATTTTACGACGTAAAAATATTGAAGCAGTATTTCATTTCGTTGTATATTTCTTTGAAAATGAAAAGTGGGTTACCCCTCTTTTTCATTTTGACAAAGAAATGAATGAAGAAAGAGCTTTCTAATTTCGGAATACTCTTTGGCTTTTGAGCGCGAAAAAGCATCCAACAAAACACATGCGTATTTTGTGTTTTTGACACTTCTATTTGTATATAAATTTTATATACGTATTCTCCAGTTCTATTATAACTTCATCTTGTACGCTTTGTTGGGTAGTATGTGCGGGGAAACAGGCTACGATGAAGAGTGCGAGGAATGCCAGTTGCAAGTAAGTAAGCAGCATATGGCTCGCTTATTTATAGTTGCGAATATGATGATCAACAACCCTCTTTCCGCACTTAAGGCTTCCATGGCTTCAGCTGGCGACACCCCCGCAACCGACTGGTGATGTTCAAAACATTCATCCTATCCACGGCTACATATGGGCTGAACATTATTGCCTGGGCTCCGCCTATATGGAAGGATGCGTTGGACCCCCTATTCGAGCGCTTTAACTCAGCACTCATCCAAGCAGCAGCCATCATCACGGGCACTAAATACCCTCGGTTTCCCAAACA